GTGCGAGAATTCTCAACTCTGACATGACATGACATGACGCCTATATATATATATATATATAATATATATATATATATATATGTGTGTGTGTATGAATTAGAAATGAATAAATGATTCCATCAAGCTTCGAATTTTCGCCCTTATGTACGAGATATTGCATATTAAATATTAGTGTTGAAGCTATCCTAAGTTAGATTTTGTGTAATGTGTAAATCATGAAAACAATCTATTACTAGTGTAGATTCAATGTTACGTCATTAATAAGGCATATAAGGGCGGTAATTAGGATTTTATTTGGGGGTGCAGACATTATATGAGGTGCACCCTATCGAGGTCGCAATAAGTGGCAAAGCGAGGGGGGTGGTAGGGTAGGGAAATCTCTCTGTCTGAAAATCAGGGTTTGTGTACAATTTTGAATATCAAAACGGTTTCATTTCAGGCGCGGATCCAGGGGGGCCGAGCGGGCCTTGCCCCCCTCCCCCCCCCCCCCCCGCAAAAAAGAAAAGAAAAAGGAGAGAGAGAGAGAAGGAAAAGAAAGGAAAGGGAAAGAGGAGAGAAAGCGAAAAAAAAGAAAGAAGAGGAAGAAGACAAGAAAAGAGGGAAGAAGAAGATGGAGGGGGAAGGACTTGCCTCCCAGGCTGTTACCTTCCCCCCCCCCCTCCCCAATCAAAAAATAAAAGAGAAGGAAGGAAGGAAAGTTGTTTGTTGGAAAATGACAAATTCCTAAATTTTCAGCCAGGCAAGAAAATGCTTTATGAGATGCCTACATATCAGGGCCGCGGAACGGCGGGGATCAGGATCCCCGAGCCTCCCCCCCCCCACTTTTATTGAAAAAGTATATTAAAGAGAAATCGAAAGAAAGAGAGCATGAAAGAAAAATAGTTAACTGCTAGTGTCACATTATAATGAGGTATCAAAATATGCTCATCTGAACATAATTAAATGCCTAAAACCCCGAGAGCTCTGCCCCTGGATTCCACCTAGGGCCCTAAGGCGGGCCCTTAGATGCTCATCTGACGGCAATTTAATGCCCCAAACCCCTGATTTCTTGGGGCCCTGCCCCCTGGACCCCACGCCAAATAGTGTCATGCCAGTGTCACAAAATGGTACAAAAAATGCTCATATGACCGTAATTAAACGCCTAAAACCCCTGAGCTTCCGGGGGCTCTACCCCTTGGACCCAACCAAGAGCCCTAAGACGGGCCCCTTGATACCCATCTGACCGTAATTGAGTGCCTAAAACCCTTGAGCTTCCGGGGGCTTTGCCCCTAGAACCCCACGCCAATTAGTGACCCGCAAGTGTCACAATTAGGTATCAAAATAATGCTCGTCTGGCCGTAATTAAATGCCTAAAACGCCTAAACTTCCGGGGCTCTGCCCCCTGGACCCCGCCTAGGGCCCTAAGGCGGACCCCTGAATGCTAATCTGACCGTAAACTATTGCCTTAAACCCCTGAGCTTACCGGGGGCGGACAAGGTATCAACATAAGTTCATCCAGGGGGGCGTTGGGGTGGTCCCCCAAAAAACGCCAGCCAAAGAAAGAGAGGAGTGAAAAGGAAGAGGACGTAGTAAGAAAAGGGAGTAGACAAAGAACATTTTTGAAATTCAGACAAGGATTAAGAGTCGAGAACGGTACAACGAATCGTCTTCTTTCTCTAATAATTTGATAAAAGGTCAAAGCTTCCGCGCTTCGCGCAGAAGGGGGGGGGGTGGAACTGAATTCAGACAAGGATTAAGAGTCGAGAATGGTCATAAGAATCGTCTTCTTTCTCTAATGAATTAATGAAACGTCAAGGCTTTCGCGCGGGGGAGGGGAGGGGAACTGAATTCAGAGGAGGATAATTTTCGAGAACGGTACAACGAATCGTCTTCTTTCTTTTATAATTTAATGAAACGTCGAAGCTTCTGTGCTTTGCACGGGAGGGGGGGCTGAATTTAGACAAGGATTAAGAGTAGAGAACGATACAACGAATCGTCTTCTTTCTCTAATGATTTGATAAAAGGTAAAAGCTTCCACGCTTCACGCAGAAGGGGGGGGGCTGAATTTAGACAAGGATTAAGAGTCGAGAACGATACAACGAATCGTCTTCTTTCTCTAATGATTTAATGAAACGTAAAAGCTTCCGCGCTTCGCGCGGGAGGGGGAAACGAAATTCAGACGAGGATTATTTTCGAGAGCGGTACGATGAATTGTCTTCTTTCCCTAATAATTCAATGAAACGTCGAAGCTTCCGCGCTTCGCGCGGAAGGTCGGGGGGGGGGGGGAAACTGTTTTTAGACGAAGATTGAGAGTCGAGAACGGTATAACGAATCTTCTTTTTTCTCTAATGATTTAATGAAACGTAAAAGCCTCCGCGCTTCGCGCGGGAGGGGGGGGGGGACTGAATTTAGACGAGGATTAAAAGTCATAACGGTTCAACGAATCTTTTGCTAATGATGTAATGAAACGTAAAAGTTTAAGCGCTTCGCGCGGGAGGGGGGGGGAAACATAATTCAGACGAGGATTATTTTGGGAACGGTACAACGAATCGTCTTCTTTCTCTAATGATTTAATGAAACGTAAAAACTTCCGCGCTTCGCGCGGGAGGGGGGGGGGGGGGGTCGTAATTCAGACGAGGATTATTTTGGGGAACGGTTCAACGAATCGTCTTTTTTCTCTAATGATTTATTGAAATGTGAAAGCTTCCGCGCTTCGCGGAGGAGGGAGGGGGGAACTCGCCCCTCCCTGCACCCACCCCCCCCCCCAATTACGTCACTGCTGGTCACCATTACGTACCAATATTTGGCTCACATAATTTAAAATTTGGGCCTTCCCCCCCCCCCCCCTAAGAAATCCTGGATCCGCGCCTGTTTCATTTATATACATGATTGTATCTTACATGTAAATTGTTTGCATTTTTTTCTTTTACATATATAATAAGACTGAGCATGCAGCATTCGCCTCCTTGGATGGCTCTTTTCAAGTTTGTCTACCACTTCCTCCAGGCTGATGAAATTTTCGTAAGGAATGTGCATTAGCAGTGGCGTAGCATGGGCACAGTCTGGTGGGGGAGCAGGGGGACCAACCTTTAGTCTATTAGATCAGTGTTTAATTTTCCAACTTTTTTCAGTCACGGCACCCTTTTAGGAGTTCAAAAGTTTCGCGTTACCCAAATTCAAACATAATCAAAGAGGATTTATTTTCCATCCCTCGTATAGAAGGCCGTACAGGAACATAGCTCTTTGTAGGCTCATGAGTACGGAAGCCCCAAAGTGCCACCATGCGAATTAAAATCTAATGGTAATTAACTAGCGCCACAATTTACTTATCTTGCGGCCGTCACATAATTAACCTTGTACATGAGCGCTTTGAGCGGTATAGATATAGCCCTTTTATGTTCTATAATATAGGACAATTATTACGCCCTGGGCAATCACAACCCCCCCCCCCGGGTCTATTACAAGTGGGACAATTACCCCGAACAATTACCTCCGAAAATTATCCTCGAGGAGGAAGGGGGGGGGGGGGGGTTGACGGGCGTGATTGTCCAAGAGGAAAATGTTCACCGGAGGTGGATAACTAGTCTTCAGGGGTAATTTTCCCGGGGGTAATTGTGTGTTGGGGGGGGGGGGGAATAATTGCGCTGGTAATTGGCCGGGCCGGGTTGATTGCCGGTAGTACGGTAATCAACTGTCCTATACCTAAAATGGCTATACCGTGTGGGCTAAGTTAGTTATCTGGCATGCAGCTGCCAAATGATTATGTGGCGGCCGCCAGATAATTCCTCTTTAATTTTAATTCACATGGTGGCTCTATATTGGGCATCCGTACTTGTACTTGTGCTTGCCGCACCCCTACTATGTTGATTTCGTTCTAAAATTAGAAGAAAACTGAGTGAAATTGCAGTAATGATGATTTGACGTGTTCCATGTGGAGTCAAATCATGTTTTACATTATTAGGTCAACAAATTGTAATATTTTAAATTTCAGATAATAAAATACATATGGAATAGAGAGTGTGTGATGGCATCGGTTAACTCATTTGTAAACCGCCCATCTTCCATGTGCGTAGCCAGGGGGCGTCGGTGGGGCGGTCGCCGCCCCCCGAAAAAAAACACGAAAAAAGAGATGAGAGAGCCGATAAAAGAAAAAGTAAGAAGACGTAGGGAGAAAAAGGAGCAGACAAAGAAACATGACAAAGACTGTGTTAAAAAGATTATTAAAAAAAAACGATTAACAGATATACATCATCCTTTATTTAAAAATATAATTGTGAAAAGAGCTTTGAAATTTATATAGCCATCAGTCCAGCCCAGATAACATATCATGCGTATCTGGGCTGGACTGATGGCTATGAATACACAATAATATGACTATCGTGTTCGTCACAGCTAGAGGTCCAGACGGATTCTACTTTGTGCAGTTGAGGAGAGTGTAGAAATTGCTAGCCCGCATACAACCCCGCTCTCATACCAGAAATAAGTCAAAATAATGTGGCAAATAATGAATATGAACAATAAATAATGAACATTATTTCCCGGCCGCAAGCAATATCATGGAAAACTTTTGATGGAATGCTGATTGTTTGGTGCCGAATTGGTTGACGTCAATATATTCATCACATGCATGATGCTCATTTCTGAAGATGTCCTTTAAAAAAATATTTTAAAAAATATATTTTTTTTTTAAATCAAAAAATTAAAAAAAAATTAAAAAAAAAAATCTTGTATCACGTACTGGCGTGCTTATGTGGGCGGCGGCGGGGGGGGGGGGGGGAGGGTTGAGGCCGTTTAATTCTAATTCGGTACCAGCAATTTAAAAGCGAAATTGCTCTTAGGAGTGATATTGAGCCTAAGAGCAATTTTATCGTATTTGGGATTAATTTTAGCTTTTAGATGTGTTAGTGACCGGTCCCTGCGAACTCCAGAGCCGTTGTGAAAAGCATGACGTTATAAATTCAATGCGTACGCGCCCACGACCTAATTCGATTCTACTATACTGGCTCAGCGCGTGCGTATACGTACGTACGTGTTGACATATCACTAAAGTCTAAATATTGTTTTGGAGGTCAATACAAGAAAATTTCTGCTTTTTCACTCGTGTTTTCCATTTATCAGTAAGTCATATTTATTATATCCGTACAGAAATATCATCGTTTTGTCAGCATCCAACTGTCATTACGTATTTTACTCCTAAAACCTTCAATAATTATAAAGAATAAACGTCTTTTTTCATAAATGTTTGTTCTCATGTCCCATACGTTTAAAACTGTGTTGTTTAATTCGAAGAGTCTCTACTTCACTGACGGTCCGATGTCAAGTGTTATCAATCATTGTTATGCCTTGTGTAGTAGATCTGCAATCTATACTATTTTTCTAGATTTTATATCTACCAAGAAGTTGTGTTTTATTTAAGGTTGTGTATCAGGACGGTTATTATCCAAAACTTGAAAGAAGAAGAAGAAGTTTACAAGCCACGAAACTTGCACAAATCAGGCAGCTGAGTTACTTATCCTAACTCTCAAAATTAAATCAGGTATAGACTAGGGCCCCGGAAAGATCTCCAACCTCGAAATCGGTTAGTGACATCAGTATCGCACAAGTTTCTGCACTTCCGGTAACTCCAGGTAGCTCTGACGCTGAACTGTTCCTTCTTCTTTCGGAAATATTTTGCTTATCATTCTATATTTTAAGTGACTTTATTCTTTAAAATCCTGTTAGAGGACCAATTTTTTTTCTTTTGATGGGATAAAGGAGGTAAGAATTCAAAATATTTGCGATTTCCCCTTAAGTGACTGAATACCGGGCGCGCTTCCCTACATGCAATATTTCATAAATCTTTTAATTATAATCTAGATCTAGATCTATAAAGGATTAGGTCTAAAGCCTTTAAAAAAAAAAAAAGGCTTAGCAGCTAGCAGTAGGGCCGGGGCGCGTCTTTTTTTTAACCTAACCTTCCCTAACCTTACCTTGCCATCCTATCGTTGCATTTGATTGGCTCAATAGGAATCATACATCATGTGCAAGTCATAAATATTCATGATACGCACGCACACAGAATCTGATGCAATAATTTATCAAATAATGAGATTTCATACAAAGATTACAAGTGCAAAGCTATGTTTATTTAAAATGAATGACATTGCGAGAAAATCGGTTGGCTTACCGTAAACGAATGACTAGCCAGGTCATAAATTGTCCATAATCATTGCAACATACTGGTTAAGTTCAGAATCTGGCCGATTTAATTTTGATCTCCACCACACTGTACCAATGCAAATGTTCATATATTCAAATATTAATATGCAGCGCAGGATGGCTAGGTTAGGTTTAAAATTGTCGCGGCTGAGGCGCTATCTTCATAAACAGGGACAAATCACTCGACTAAAATGAGACACTGTACTGCTGTTGGTTAATAATTGATAGACCTTGTGCCTGTGTGAGTGCTTCGAGTCAAGACAAATGGATTAAAATGCTTAAACTGTCTCCTTTTCAGGTCACGTTGTGTTTGATAGATGGATACATCGTCCGGAGGTGTAGGTGCCTCCGAACCTCGTCACCATGAGCCAGTTCCAGAACCGGCCATGATGGATGTTGTCCTCTCTGCAGAAGGAGTACAGACAGAAGTAGAGTTGCCTGGATGCCACAACTGCACAGTCTTACAAAAGGTATGACCAAGGCAAGCTTTGACTTTAATACATCCAAGAGGTATTTTTATGAATAGTGATACTGTGAAAACCCATGATTTAAGACTGCTCAAGGGAGTCAATAAAAGTTGTTTTTATTAGCAGGTGGTCTATATGTACAGGTTCCTTTAATACAGGTTTTAATGGGAAACTCTGCTCAAGGAAGACTAAAAATTGTGGTCTTTTAAAGCCCCACTGAACTACTTATAGCTACTTAAATAATGCCTAATGGGTGACCATTGGTCCCTTTTTTTCTTATGTTAATTACGAGCTGATTTGTCGAGATAACCACCTGTCTAGTGACCTTGCAGGGTGGTCTAATCCCTCCTGTACACTAGTACAGATAGCCTTTAAGATAGGAGGTCATAACCGTCAAAGTACAAGATCAGCAACATCTTTACGCTGTTCTCGACTAATCCATTAAGTGTTTCACAAACCCATCCTTGCCAAGTCGAGCGAAAAACTTCCCCGACAAGAGAATTGTCACAACTCCAAACCTGTCATATCTTATTTCACATTTTGGTATTTATATAAAAGCATTATTCAAGCAAAAAAACTTTTCTCATAAAGTTTTGATGCCTTAACAAGTAGTTGAGATAAATATTATTTGAACATCATCATTCTATCATAAAAAAGTCGTCAAAGATGGAACCATCTGCAATTACAGACCCATTAGAATAACGACAGTTTTCCCATACCGGTAGGTATTTCTCTAGATAATTTTGATTTTCAAGCACCTTGATACAAATCATATCACATAATTATTTGATTTAAATTTTTGTTAACTGTTTGTCTTATTTTCTTAACTTTAATAAAATCAGGGTCTTTTCTTCAATTGGATATGAGCAGCTTCATGTATAGTATCCTCTTACTTGCAGATTCTGATTCGCCCGTCGCCAAAGCAGCCTCTAGTTTCAACAATATTTATAAATACTTAGATGTCTTTTGGTACAAAATAAGATAAATAAAGAGAGATGCAGGACTAAGACCTTACATTTTTGATTTATTTTAACAGGAGCTTGAAGACTGCAAAAGGGACAGAGCATTCTTTGTAGATATCAAGAGAAAGATGATACTGACAGAGTGAGTGTATATTTGGACTATAGAAATACAGTTTATTATTATTGTTGTTGTTGTTGGTAATAGTAGTACTAGTAGTAGTAGTAGTATTCTTTTTTGTCTTTTTCTTGTTAATATTGTTATTATAATAAGTATTATTACTATTATTCTTATTGTAATCTATGAAAATGATAGGTCATTATGTTCATATACAGTGTAGCATAAGGTTTGGTCATAATAACACTCGTGTTAAAATTCCTTTTTTTGTTTTGTTTTGTTTTTCTGGGATGCGCTGTAGTGTTGCCACATTATCTCTGTAAGGCCTGTTTATGTTTTAGTGATGTGTAATGTCTCCCACTAGTATGATTTGGGTTGTGCCAAGGGGTTTGAACGTGTAACAGCTGCAGGTCTACATTTTGATATTACATGTTTGTAAATTAAGAGATTGATTAACATTCTTTACCTACCAACATTTTGTGTCACAGCACGTCCAAGTACATACATCTTCCTAGAGGGAATCACTAAACGTGGCCACTGTAAACAGTTGGTCTTTATACTTAAATAGAGATATGTCCATTATGGTATTTTGACTGTTCTCTTTACTATGTCCCATTTGCAGGCCAAAAAAATGAAAAGGTTAAATTCCAACGGCATTTGAAAGATGATACTAATTTAGAACTTCCCTAAAAAAGGTGGGGCTTGAAAATGTCTTCAAGTGGGAAAATAACGACTATTAGTTGTCAAATTGACTTAGGAGCTATAGAGCCAATAAGTAATACTTGATTTTCAGACCATTGTACCAAATGGTCATACGTTTTATGCTGCGCAAAGATTCAATCAGTTTAATTTTGGCCATCACAAGAAGTGGGTTATTGATGTAGACAAAATGCTAATGTACCCTTTACAGCTCATTTTATGTATGTTATTACCAAAGAAGCAGAAAAGCCAGTCAGTCACTCAATAGTGTCTGACAGTGAAGTCTAGCAAGTAAACGGGTTTCCTTGCACAAGTTGAATATTAGGACACTGCTAACGTTTAAATTTCACAGATAGGACATACATGATATATTCATAATTCCTGCAAAGTTCTACATAATTTGAGGTTGGCTGCAAAAGGGACATAGTACCTTTAAAGTTCTATTTATGTACTGTATTAAAAGTAGGAACCTTTAAATGTGCACAATGTCTTGGTAAGCTTGGCAAGTGGTTCTGGCTCGGCAAGTATTAGGCCCGCAAAATAAATTGATGATCATATTTGACATAACACTGGATTCTTTGCTATTCGTGAAAGTTTATTGCCATGAAAGTGGCTGCTCATAAACAATTGCAAAAGTTTCTTGATTCAAAAGTTTCTTGTTGCAAAATTTCTGATTTTATAGTAATTGTCAGATGATAATTTTTGTTTTTCAATCTCTCTTCTTCTTTTTTTTTCTTTACAGCACACTTATCCAGAAACACCAGAGCAAATGTCAAGATATCCTTTGAATAATATTTAAATAATTTGCTTAGATACCGGTATTTTTGAGAATAATGATAAAGTTGATCTTTCTCGTTCTGCAAATGGAGACTTTTTCTTATTGTTTTAAAGTAGACATTAAAAGAAAATCCCAAATATGGCCAATAATGTATCACTAGAAACCAGGAAGCTTACAGATCACAATCATATGTTTTGCGTATTGCATTGTACCCTTTCTAAGTGATATCTGCAAAAATCACTAGACATCAATTTTGAATCTGAAGAATAATTTAGAGATCATATTTCCTGTTTAAAGCTTAAAAAGTCAAGTTCAACTGCATAAAATGCTCTTGAATCAATGCCACAACATACATGTAAATAATAATAATAATAAAGGATAATAATGGGTTCTTGTATAGCGCTCATGTCAGTCAGATGTACCAATATTATAACGACTACTACTAATAATAATGATATCTGTTATTTGTATAAGACCTCATAGTTTCGAGAAAAATAGAATTACTGACTTGATATACTGAATTTAATAGCAATTTTTTCTTTAAATTGAGAAGCACTCTACAAAAAACAGTTATTATTATTAGAAGTAGAAGTAATAGTGGTAGTAGTAGTAGTAGTAGTAGTAGTAGTAGTAGTAGTAATATTAGTAGTAGTACCAGTAGTATCATTAAAAGTATGTTTATAATTATGAGTATGATGATAACAATAGTATGTATAGTATTACAAACATTTGATAATAATCATAATAATAATGGTTATTGTTATTACTTATTATTATTATTATTATTATTATTATTATTTCATTGTTGTTGTTGAAGAGAAGTTTTGTTAACAGGGCTACATGTACTGTGTATCTATCCTGTATCATTTTCTTTAACTCCACTGCACCATTCGAAGAGCAACAGAAGAGCATTCAAAATCTGACTGCGAGATTAGCTCAATCCAAGAGGTAACATACTTTTTTTCTTTGATTTGACTAAGATTAAGGCTTGTCACATATGACATAGATCACATTTCTTCTTTTTCTTCCTCTCTTTTTTCTTGATCTTTTTATACTTCTTCTTCTACTTCTTCTTCTTCTTTCTCTTCTTCTTCTTCTTCTTCTTCTTCTTCTTCTTCTTCTTCTTCTTCTTCCACTTCCACTTCTTCTTCTTCTTCTTCTTCTTCTTCTTCTTCTTCTTCTTCTTCTTCTTCTTCTTCTTCTTCTTCTTCCACTTCCACTTCTTCTTCTTCTTCTTCTTCTTCTTCTTCTTCCACTTCCACTTCTTCTTCTTCCACTTCTTCTTCTTCTTCTTCTTCTTCTTCTTCTTCTTCTTCTTCTTCTTCTTCTTCTTCTTCCACTTCCACTTCTTCTTCTTCCACTTCTTCCACTTCTTCTGCTTCTTCTTCTTCCACTTCTTCTTCTTCTTCTTCTTGTTCTTCTTCTTCTTCCTCTTCTTCTTCTTCTCCTTCTTCGTCTTTTTCTTCTTCTTCTTCTTCGTCTTCTTCTTCTTCTCCTTCTCCTTCTCCTTCTCCTTCTCCTTCTCCTTCTCCTTCTCCTTCTCCTTCTTCTTCTTCTCCTTCTCCTTCTCCTTCTCCTTCTTCTTCTTCTCCTTCTCCTTCTTCTTCTTCTTCTTCTTCCTTGTCTATGTTGTTGTTCTCCTCCTCCTCTTCCTCCTCAATCTAATGAAAACAATTCATGTACAGGCGGGTGTACCAAGGCTCCATGATTTACATTGCATTTTTACAATAAGGGGGTTTGCTTTGCATGTGCAGTGTCTGAGTTAGGCCCTGAATAAACATGAACATATTTACATCAAAAAGCATAACGTTTATACAGAACAGTTAAAAAATAATACTAAGAATTATTCCTTGCATTCTGGGGGCATGTATGCCTGTAAAAAAGGGCGATTGGGTGAAATGCTCCCCAAGGGAAGTTTGAGGCTGTAATTTTACCATGTCATAATGTGAACAGTCTTTGGTTTGGCTTAAGGACGGCCCGCAGTAATGTCCGTGCGCACCTTAGCTGCGCACTTATGTATTTTTCCATGCATAAGGCTTGCAGTTCCTGGTATCCTTCAAAGTAAATACATGATCAGCTGGCCCTGTGCACAAATACTACTGTGGAACGTCCTTATGGGGTATAATAATAATAATAATAGTGACTACTTGTATAGCGCACAGGTCCACCTTTCGGTGCTCATGGCGCTTTAAAAAAAGGACATGTAACAGACATAAGAAAGGGAGAAAAAAAAAATCGAAATTCTCCTAGACATGGTAAATTAAAATATTACAATATTTACAACGAAAGAAACAAATAAGTTTTCAGTTGTAATTTGAATGAGAAAAATTTGTCACTGGGAAGTTTATGTTTCTATGAAAACAAAAGGGGAAGTGGGTTGTATTACAGTAATTGATACTGAATGAACATGCAATACCGAGGTCCCTGGCTCAATTGCTGCAATCTAAATAAACATTTATTTATGATATTTCTCTTTGTTTGGAGCTTTATTGATAATTGTACTTGTATTGACTATCAGTTCAGAGCAACGAAAGAGGAAGTACATGTGGACTGTATTCTGCTGATAAGAATACCAATGACCAGGTCCCAGAATTGGGTGCTGATATGTACGTTTGTACATATACCTGTAATTATTCATGCGAGCGGTTTAGTCCAAATCTTTACAGTAGTGACGATTTATAAAAAAGATCTGTTTACTAATGTCATGAATACTTCTTGAACTGAAGTTCCCTGTGACTGCTTGAAAGCTTGCCTAAGGCTCACCGGATATAGCAGCAGACAATGTATCCTAGGTGTGTTTGATTTTGTGCATGGCAGGTGAGTCAAGTTAATTCTTGAGCTTAGGTTTTTCTTGACAGCTTGAAAGCTTGCCTGAGGAGTGTCAGATATAGCTACAATCAATTTATGCAAAGTGCATTCAATTCATGCCTATGCCTTTGTGCACAGCAGGTGAATCAAGTACAGTGAAACCTGTATATAAAGACCACTAATGGGGACAAGAAATGGGGCCCTTATGACCTGGGACCCGTTTCACAAAGCCTTTTTCAATGACGAATGACAAAAATCTGTGACAAATCTGTTGATACCCAATCAGAAGCAAGGATTTCAGTAGCTTATAACAAAAACTGTCAATTGTCACTGATGACAAGTTTTGTGAAACACCCCCCTGGTGGTCTTTATATAAAGGTCTCTTTGTTTAAATGGGAAACACTTTTCAGGAAGAAAAAAATGAGGTCTTTATAGACAGGTGGCCTTTCCGTACAGGAGGTCACTAAAGCAGGTTTGAGTGTAGTTAATAAACAGGTCTATTTGTCTCCGCCCACTAAAGGTGAATTAAGGTATGTAGGTCAAAGGTCACAGAGGTCAATTTATGAAATTGAAGGATTTTAGTCTTGCTATCGCAATATCTAAACATGGTGACATTATTACTATAGGAAGATGATCCAATTACATTTTGGGGCTAGAAGGTTAAAATCATAGTCGTTCGTTGAAATTTGATGATGGGCTTTTTCTTTTCATCGTCATATGTCTACAGCTTTACAAGCGTGCTTTCATGTACATGTACATGTAGGTCCCATCATATTCCTCTCAGTTAAATCAGTACTCTATATTGACCACTTATCTTTATGTTATTTATTATGTATTATTGATTGTTATTTTATCACACAAAAAACAACTTGTACTTTATTTTGAAATGTATACATGAGAAATATGAAAATAAATGGAATGAAATGTCAGGAATAATTCCATCCATTTCCCATAATAAATCTCGGGCGGAGGCGTATACATTTTTGTAGGAGACGCAGTCACATTTACCGGTATCTTGTTTTGTTTTTTATCCTGACAGGGATTGTAAAGTGTTGGAGGAGCAGCTCGCCACAACCTTGAAAGACATTATTCCATGGAAAAAGGTCAGTATTGCAGTTTGGTCAGAAGTTTCTAATTTGTGCGTGAATGGCTAGTCCATACCAAAATGTACTTTAATATCAGGGAGGTGTTTCACAAAGATCCTAAGTCGAACTTAACTCTAAGTTGGACTTAAAAAATATGGAGAGCCATTAGTAGCATTTTAGAAATATATATTTAAAAGCAAAAATTGAAGTATTTTAGATTTTTTAATAATTCCACATCAAGAACATGAAAACTCCTTGGTAATGGAAAATATGAATGATTTGAATCAACATTTTATGCCTTTTAAAATAATTTGTACAAAATATTTTTATAGATGTTAACTGCTTTCCATAATTGTTAAGTCCAACTTAGAGATAATTTCAACTTAGGATCTTTGTGAAACACCCCCCTGGTCATGGGTCATGGAAAGTCATGGAACATGCTAAAAATATTAATATTTCTGGAACAATTTGGGACGCGATAGCTTGGATTTCTCCCAATATACATGTATGTACATTTTAACCCTTAATAAAAGGCCGGGTTATATTGGAGTTCGCTCGGCCGTCTTTGGGCAATGACATGCGCAAAAGGAAGGGAGAAGAAATAAAATACTGGTATACAGGCTTTGGAGGAGACCCCAAAACAGGAACCAGAGTAGATCATAGAATCATTTCATTAATCAATAATATATGACAATGGATATCATTATTTGAAATACACAAGAAATACATTAGATTTTGCTTCATTTCAGTACAGCTATAGATAAAGAACAATTTTTGCTCGATAAGTACGTCTTATGTAACTGCACAATTCCAATATAATATCTGTTGAATTAAATAGCCTTTATTACCATGATTACACCTTGTTTCATAAAATCAAGGATAATTGCGATCTGGTGCCTTGTTTGTTTCTCAAGCCATGCAGCCTTCCACGTCTTATGCGCATTGCTAAGACAATGCAAACAATGGGTATGCGCCAGTGCACGCAGGGTTAATTGGATACGGTATGAAGCAAAAATAGACTCATTTGACCTGGGGAGTGTTTCACAAAGACGAAGATCGACTTTAAGTTGGACTTAACTATGACCGGCCATTCATGCCACTGGTTGCTCTCACCATTGGTCTATCAATTATGATCTTTAGATAATATTCTTTCCTTCAATAATAAACTATCAAAAAAGCTCAATTCTGTAGATGTGTGAACATGATTTGTACGTCCCTTGAGAGACCATTGCCAGTAAATGGTGAGAGCAACTAGTGGCATGAACGGCCTGGCATAGTTAATCCAACTTAGAGTCAATCTTAGTCTTTGTGAAACACCCCCCTGGGCAGTCAATATAACATCGAAAAATGAATAGGAGTGAAATATGTGAATTACGCTCCTCTCAATCGATATCACAAGAAGAGCTTTGAACCAATCACAACTTTGTATCTGTAAGAGCTATCTAATAACGAAGAAAATGTCTAATTTGCTATCGTCACCTTTGTTACAGGATAAAGAACGATTCCTTCAGGAGTCCCAGGAGAGCAAGAAACAATTTGAGGTTCTTCACAATAAACTCAGCGCTCAAGAGGTAAGGAGAAAGAAATCAACTCTTTATATGCCACATAAATAATCTCTGAAATTAGCGGTAAAGCCTTACCCAACTATAGACCAAGTCCTGTTTGATGTGGGACCCGAACAACATGGTTCATTCACATTATTTTGGTGCTGAAATTGCAAGTAGAGGGTACCACGTACATAAGCCATTATTTTTGCACAGATCTTTATTTTTTGCGAATTTTATATGTGTTTTCACATTTTTACATGTTCGTGCACCCCAAACCAGGAATGGCACAGTCATCTGGATACTACTTCACAATCCTTCAGATATTGTTTTATTTTTGCACATGTTTTTATTTGTTTGCGAATCTTAAATGCGCTTTCACTTTTGTACGTGTTCATGCAACCCAAACCATGAATGACGGAAAGCGTGAGATACACTAAATTTTCATTTTCTGGTCGACGCATAACCTTTCATGCAATTACATATGATGATGCAGTATTATCTTTGACTTCAGTGACATTGAAAACCGTTTTCTCCAGTCTCTTACGTATTGAAAGTAGCCTGTGTTAATTATTGTGGTAATTCTTATAAATGACAATGTCCTGTCATACGCAATTTTAAACAAAAAAAATGTACAGTCAAGCAATAAAGCGCAATGGCTCAGTGGTTGAGCAGGTCATGCTTTCTTAGCAGTCGGGTCAAAGAACAAACCAACCAACCAACATGTATCTTTGACTGTAACAAATTTGATTTCCATTTTCTCCTCTCAGTCTCTGATCAGACAGTATGAGAGTAAGCTCGAGGTGTGTGATGAAGAGAAAGCTACCTTAGAGTCGGACATCCTCATGCTCAAGTCTCAGACGGATGCCATGAAACAGAGGTGAGAATCTGCGTATCTACCTCTCCTGGACTACCCCAAGCCCCCGCCCCCTTCCCATCCCCCCTCATACCCCTCCCTCAAAACCCCCCTCTCACTCCCTCACACCCCTCCCATTGGTCATGTACCCGCGTTGGATGCTCATTGGCAGATGAAGGTCATTTTTTACAAAATCTTAAAGATGCATACCCGGTAGTAATGGGCTCTCATGGGGAATCTGACACCATTCGGGTGTTTACTCATTCAGGTGTTTCATGACCAACAAGCCTATTTTCCACTCATCCCTCTATTCGGTAAAGCCTACCCCATTTTTTATGTGTAGGTAAATGAGTCACAGCTGTGCGCTACGAAACTTCTTCACATATTGACTTAGCTCTGTGTTATAAGGAAATGAAATGTAGGGCGTATTACGCTTTACATCATTTAAACAATTTAAAATATGCCACAGTTTACTGCTGCATTTCTCATGTGCTTTCTACTTTTTGAACTGAATATTATCTTGTTGCTATTGTATTTTTTAATGTCAAGTGTGCTTTTTCCCCAAGGCTATTCACCAAGTATTCAGTTTTTAAAACATGCTTGTAATTAATATGATATCATATTATTGAATAAAAATGAATTTTGATGATTTTCTCTTTTTTTTGTTTTTTGGTCAGCTCCAAGAAAGCATCCACCTCATTGGAAAAGGCAAAGGGTGAGTGTATGCCTTAAAAATGATTTTTTTTTTTCTTCTTTTTTTCTTCCTGTTTTCCCTTTTTTTTCTTCTCTCTGCCACATGACCTGAGACTAAATGCGATCTTATTTTAGAATAATTGGCAATTGTAATGTTCATAATAGTATATTTAGTAAAACTCTGTGTTGTAGCCATTAAGCTGAGTTCTACAATGTTTTACAAATAAAAACACCCTGCAAATACAGTGTACATGCATGATATAAAGTAATAATCAAAAATAGTGAAGATGGTTCTCTAATATTCTATGCGAGCATGTACAGGTGCATCAACTACAGTAAAACCTGTATATAAAGACCGCTCAAGGAAAACATGAAATGTGGTATTTGTAGACAGGTGGTCTTAATGTACATGTTCCTTTAGTACAGGTTTCAAAGAGCAACCATATTCAAGGGAAGTAAAAATGTGTGGTCGTTATAGACAGGTCGTCTTTCTATGCAGATGGTCTCTAAAGCATCTTTGACTGTAGTCTACTCAACAAGTTTCTCTTTATAGAATTAATATCTGAAAACCTCTATTTTTTTATTGTAGTATCGCATCAAGGAAGCACTTACATGCAGAAAAAATACTCGTTAGCGATTGGTACACTTTAACCCTTACTGTACTGGGGGGGGGGGCCTGGGAGGCCCCCCCCCCCTCGACATTTTCGGAGATTGCGCCGCAACCGCTTGGAATTTTGAATTGTCGTTTCATGACTTTTTTCCCTCAAGTCTTACGCACATTTTGATACCATTTTCTACGAAATCGGATATACCTGTAAGGCGTTACATAACAATTAGTATGCGCATGTCATCAAAAAAACAAACAAAAAATAAAAATCGCATCAAAATTTGCATAAATTATCATTATTAATTACATTAAAATAACTTTTTTGTGTTAGAAAAGAAGTTTCATATGAATAATGAGTTTCCACATTCAAAAAGTGGAGTTTGACACGTTTTCTGTAAAATGCATAAAATTAGCGCATTTTGCATAATTAATTAGGCTAACGACAAAAATTTGCATATTCGGAAAAAACTAATTATACCATCTTGTTCCTTACGTAGATATACATGTATACAAACATGCAAATTTTTGTGTTCATCGGACAATCAACGGCCGAGATCATAGGGGGAAGCCTCCCAGGCCCCCCCCCCCCCCCCCCCAGTCAGTGGGTGCTCAAAATAGCCCAGTACAGTAAGGGTTAAAGAGAAGGTTGAGTTCTGGGAAGAGGTGAAAAATAATTTGTGAGCATTACTCATTCTTATTATGCAAGTGTGGAAGAACATCAGATAAGACATGTTCCCTGAAAAGCATGGCTCTTCAAATGCCTTCATATTCTAAATATACATGTAACATCGTAAAAATTGGGGGGCCGGCTTTTTACGCCACGTGTTTGTGTAGTCCCATATACATGTACATCTTTCTGTGTACAGTGTTTGTAACTTTACCAAGACTTGGCCAAATTTCTTATCATTTTGATGATTCCAGAACCTTGTAATACACACAAATTCTTATATGCTAGATGATCAACATTTTCTGGTCGGTTCCACACCGTTTCTTTCACAATGCAATCGCATGACCAGAACTCAACTTCATCTTTAACCCACCTGTTCACCTGTATACCTACATTTAGTCTGGTTTAAACCTGTTTGCCCTTGATATCCGGGGTTCCATGTCACCATACTGTATTCCAAATGTGAGCACCAAAAAGTTCAAAAGATTACTTTTACAAAGAGATATTGCTGTCTATCTATACTTCCAGTAAACAGTAAATTGGCTTGTTGAGCAGACTAGTTTATGCTTGCGTAAGTGCTTGTGTAGAAAAGGGCACATGGAACCCAAGTCTGACTTGGGTTTCTTACGCGCCATTTTATTTTATCCTTTAATCACTTCATTCAAGTTAATCATTAACTTTTATAATGCCAGGTGAAAGTTTTTCTTGAGGTTTTTAGCTACAGGTATACACATTAAGACCACTAACCTTTAACCTCTAACCTCTAACCTCAAACCTTTTGCTTGTACTTTCAGAGGACACCAGCAAGTTGAGGAAAGAGATGAGTCAAGTCCGGAAGTCCAAAGCCGCTGTGAACATGAAGTTTGAAAGAGCTAAGGTACGTCACTCCAATCGGTTGTAACCCTTCAAACAAAATCAGAGAGGGACAAAGACAATAGCTTCATCAGCTCCTTCTTTCTTATTCCCAAACCCCCCAAAACAGATTCGCTTCAAATCCTTTCAATCCGCTGCTACTTGCCTGTGGAATAAACTCCCCGCATTTTTGAGAAATTTTACTTCACTTGATTTTTTTTTTTTAATCAGAAAAAAAACCCATGTAGATTTCATATAGATTAAAGGTAAAGACCAGTTATGGTCATGAGATTGCATTGTGAAAGAAACGTTGTGGAATCGATCAGAAAAGGTTGATCATCTAGCATCTAGCATCTGCAAGGTTCTGGAATCATCAAAATGATAAGAAATTTGGCCCATTCTTCGTAAAGTTACAAGCACTATACACAGAAAGATGTATATGGGACTACCCTATATCTCTCACAGACCATGAGAGAAACAAATTTACCAAATATATGAATTAGTAGGCGGTTTCCCGGCAATTTTGTTGTCATCATGTATTAGTCAAAACATATTCTTTCACATGATTGGTAATGAGAGCTTCCATTTCATTTTTTGAAATTGGGGCGTTTCCAATACTAGTCTTTACCTTTAATGCCTTTCTGATCGTGTAAAATTTTCTATTCTATTGACCAGACAAAGATAAAAAGAATTGTGCAATCTTCTGATGTGTCTTTATAAATCACCATCATTACCATCATTGTTATAATTTTTTGATATCATTTCATCTTTGTGATTCTATTGAACGTACAAAGATTTTAAAGAAATGTGCAATCACCTTATTTGTCATCATCATCATCATCATCATAATCATCATCATCATAATCATCATCATTTTCATCACCATCATCCTCATTGTTATTATTATTTAATATTATTTCATTTTTTTTATTCTGTTGTCTAGACAAATATAAAAACCCTTTTTTTGCAATCACTTGATGAGTCATCATCATCACGTCATCATCCTCCTCCATCATTGTTATCACATCATTTATTATCATTTCATCTTTGTGATTCCATTGACCAGACAAAGATGAAAGAACTGTGCAATCTCCTGACCCGTCACGGCGTCAGGGCCCCAAGGATGAAAGGATTCGGCTCATCTGACAAAGAGGAAGAAGAAGAAGAGGAGTACATGGAGGAGACGGATTCAAGCGACCAAGGTACCAGAGGGAAAAATATACGGGGGCTAGGGGCGAAGTAGCCCCCATAATGTCCAAAAGAGCCCCCGAAAGTCACAAAAGAGCCCCAAAAAATTTGCATAGAGTTCAATACAAAACAAATTAAAGAGTGATATTTTCATGCAAGCAAGCTTGAAAAGTAGCCCCCGAAATTTTTAAAATATTTTTACAAGTTACAAACAAGATCATTCTAGGCACTCATTTTGAGTAATATTCATGAAATATTAGATGGCCACAGGGGGGGGGGGGGATATCAGAAAAAATTGCCTTCAACAGAATTATAAATGTATTGCCCCAAGTCAAAATCAAGGGCAATATGGATGTTTAATTAATGAGGGGCACTTTTTTCAATATTTCCCCAAAGCAGATTCAGCCAATATTACTACATGTATTCGTATGTATATGTATATCGGGTACATCCCTATAAGTTTGTTTGCCTGTTGTCCAGGTCATTTATTATTTATTTCAACTAAGGAGAACAACTATGGCATACAGTGTTACTACATTTTCAATTGTTTTAGCATTTGTACATCTTGCTTACATACCCAGTTTGTATTACTACAAGCATAGTAGAGATGTAAAAAGACAAGGAGATGAAATTGTTGTTGTCCTCGGGCATGATTAAGTGGAAAATGTGAAGATATCGCGGAAGAAGCAATACGTTATGAAATATATTGAACGTTGTCTTCAAGAGTGGGCAAAATATGTGTATTCAATGGGGAAGTCCACCCTGATATTAAGTTGGTTTTAATAGAAGCAGAAAAAGGAGAGAAACGGGTTAGTGAAAGTTTGAGCAAAAAATGATGGAAAATAGTGAAAACAAACTTATGAACTTTTAAAGGTGCAGTCAACCAAACAGAAATTGGCAACTCTGTGACGTATCTTATTATCATTGTTTTTATTATATGTATTATCATTATCATTACATAATTATTATTAGTAGTATTTTTACTTCTAGAAGTAATAGTAGTAGTAGTAGTAGTAGTAGTAGTAGTAGTAGTCGTAGAAGTAGTAGTAGTAGTAGTTGTAGTAGTAGTAGCAATTGTAATAGCATGTAGCAGATGATCTGTTGATGAAAAATCCTATCCTTTTATTTCACCTTTCAGATGAGGATGGAGGTGGCAGAGTTACCATGGTGACGAAGGAGAGGACCCCAAGAGATGCGGTCAAACCCGTTACCGTGCCAACGTATCGTCCTCAACAGTCTGGTGTCCAGTCTCAGCCTTCAAGTGCTCCTCCAAGTAGGAGACCTTTTCCTAAGATGGATTTCACCTCCGTGGCCTGTCTCTCACCTCTCCCACCCTCACCACCGAATGTAAGTTTATAATAATAAAGATAATATATAAGGTAAACAAGTAATATATGAATGATAATAATATTGAAATAATTGTATTAATGATAATAATAATAATGGTAATTTTAGTAATGATAGTTAAAAACAATAATGCTCAAAGTCATGCTAAAGTTATAATAATGATAATGATGATAATAATATTGATAATGATAATATTAATGATGATAACGATAATAATCATAAAAGCAATGGTAGTAATAATAATAGTAGTTGTTGCGCTTGTACAATGTTTAATATTGTCTTTATATTTAAAAGTGCATTATATTGTGCACACAGTGTGTGCGGGCAATTATTGAATCCAATGACCGGGGTAATATAATAGAGACATCATAGATGTATTAAGCGCTATATAAAAGCTGAATATTATTATTATTATTATTATTACTTGTCATTGGATTCCATTGCTCACCTGCGCATGATAGTGCACATGCTCTGCTCCCTAGGGAGTATTCTGGTCAAGGCCCTTTTTACAAGTGCACAAATGCCAATCCCACCACACCCTACAGGGTACCACCTGAGCGGAGAGTTGTAAACGTAGGTAAATGACTTGCCAAAGGACACTAGTGGCATGCTGGGACTCAAACACATGACCTGCACATTTTCAATGAAGTGTTAAATTCATGCGACTATGAAACTAGTATTCAGTTGTCTTTAAAGATAAAGTTGATTTTTGGTTGGGTGAATGTGCATACATTTTGAAAGAAACCATGTGGAAGCAAAAAGGAAAGTCTATTTTAGAGCATATAAGAAATGGTGTATACTGTGAACTACTCAGCCTTGTTGAAAGCCCCTTGCACTGCACACAGAAACAGGTATATGGGACTAAGTGGCACATGTGGCATGAAAATTTGGTCCAAATATTTTTCTGAAGACAAAAAAAGTAATTGACATTGGTATATCTTTCATGGTAACAACCCTTTTTCATTTCTCTGTTGTAATATTCACAGACTCGAGTGGACAAATCCAACAGCTCTGACAGTAATGAGAGCGATACTACACTGGCAGAGGCTGCAGCCAAAATCGAGGCCCAGCTGTCCACTCCAGTACTTCTGAGGCGCCGAACTGAACAACCTGATAAGGAGCAAAGTAGACCATCAACCAGAGTCTCCTCGAGACGAAAAGCTCCTGGAAGAGTAGAAACAAAGAGTACAGGTGCAACAGAGGATCCTGAGAGTAATGCAGATGGAGCAGGATCTCGAAGGGGTCTTCGATTTTTGAGGAAGTCGTCTGAAAGTAGTGAAGGAACTCGTAAGCCTTCTACCGGAACATGTTCCAGGGAGTCGAAGAAACTTGAGCAGGAAAATTCAGCGGACGGCATGTCTGAGAAGAAGAGACCACGAGGAAGGCCTAGAAAAGTTAAGGATGTGTGCAAAGAGAAGCATGCCGATGTGGATAGTGATGATAGGGAAGACCTTGCGCAGAGACTGCAGGGGAGAGTTCAGACCCTGTCATCCTCTGACGAGGAGGTGGAGAGGAAAGAAGATGCAGGAGGAAAGTGTAGAAGGGAGCGCAATGGGGTATCGGCTGTACGCACCCGCTCAAAGACCAAAGGACAGGTTGCGAGTGGGCAAAGTGGGCAAAGTGTGTCGGAAGATTGCAACGTCTTGCCCTTGACATTGTCCAGTGATGAATCCAAGCGTTCGTTGTACAACCCCGGGGGCAGTGCTGCTAGCGATGGAAGTGAAACGGCAAGCATTGTTGGGAGAAAGAAAAGGCTGACTATGAAAAGGCAGACCCTGAGAAAATCAAGTGCACTGAGCGATAGCAGCGAAAGTGAAGATGATCGTCGGAAAGTCAATGGAACACACCCGAGCCAAGATGTGGTTGAACCGTCTGCAAGTACTTGTCATCAGTCAAGGAAGCCCGAAGCATCGCTGATTGAAGGTGTTGCTGTAAAGCGGCTTTCAGATGAATCCAATAAATCTAATAAACTGACATCAGACAGCGAGGCAGATTCTTTAACCAACGCTAGGAGGACATCAAGAAGGTTGGCACATCGACAGAGGAATGTCAAAACACAGGCCTCCAGTGAAAACACTGGAAACAAAACAGAACACTCCAAAGATATGACTGAAATACAAAGCAAAGTAGCTACAAACGATAGAGAAAGAGTATCTGATAATGATAAACAGTCTTTAGAAAATCCTCAAAGATTGCTAGCCAAAAAGAGAGTGACTAGACATTTGAATAGGAAGCTTTTGAGATCAATGAGTAGTCCACCAAGAACGAGCTGTTCCAGACGAGGATCTGAAGATGATAAGTCTGGTGGAGATAGACCTTCGCAATATCAAAGGAAGCCTGGAAGAAGTGTTTCTAAGGATGAGAACTCCATTTTGTGTAAATCGTCAAAAGAAGATGGTATGCCATCCAAGTTAGGACAAGAGAGTGTTGGCGAAGACACATCGTCTCAAGGAAGGACACTTCTTAGAAACTTGTCTTCACCAGCTCGTCTGACAAGATCAGCATCACGTAACTTTGATTCATCTGAATCTTGTTTGCCCTTCACAGGGAAGACAAGTTCAGAACAGGAAGACCAGTCTTCAGTAAAAGTAGATCGTTACTCACCTTCAGAAGATGAAAAATCCTCAAGACTCACCAGAGCTGCTGCAAATCCAACAAGGAGATTATCGCAGAAACGAACTCATAGTGATTCTCAAAGCTCTGAGGATGAGAAAGGGGTTAAGATCTCAAAATCGATGGACACAGGAGCAGTGGAGAGTGGAAATGGCGACAAGGTAGGGGAGGATAATGAGGAATTACCTGTGCGAAATGAAGGGAAAGTCTTAATGCGGTCGGAGACTGAAGAGTTTGTTGCATGCATGGATGATGTTCCTTGCATGGATGGAGAAGAGCAAATTGAGACTGGGAAACAGACAGGAGAGAGCTTGACAGCAGAAAAAGACAAGACCATTCCAAGTGATGTGAAAGACACAAAGAAAAGAAAACTCCCCAGCAGACAAAGTAAAAGAATCAAACTTTCTTCTGTGGATACGATTGAAAAGAAAGGAGAGGGCTCATCATGTATGGAAGGTGTGTTTGATGATGCAGGAGATGAAAACTCAACAATTGATGCCAACAGAAAGTTGAAGAATCACGAACATGTGGACAGACCAAGCACTAGCAGAGGATTAGAATCATCGGTGGAAGGTGCTCATGTAGAAGCGCTCAGAGCACAGCCTCCGATTCTAGTTCCTCAGCATCGGGAACGACATGCATCCATTGCATCACTGCCTTCCTCAGGGAGGAACAGCCCTGTGTCGCCTCTTCAAGAACCCTTTCAAGGATTTGACGCTCGGCCGATATCTCCCATGTCTCCTGAAAGGCCTGTCGAGAGGGTGTCTCCTATCATGCCTACATTCTTCTTCGATTTGCCAGCTTTCCCTAGAATGCTATCACCTTTGCCACCAAGTCCGCCACGATTCCATCCAGCAGAAGACACTGTTGATGTAACCGAAGGGGACATGCAAGAAGTGATGTCCGAGGAGAATCCTGAGGCGCAAGCTCAGCCAAGGATGATATCTCCGCTCTTCCCGACACCCGTCCCTTTCGCTGTCTCGCCCATACCTGAGATGTCCGTTCCACCTGCTATTTCTCCTATAGCCGATGTCCAACATCCCCCTGAGATTTCACCTATTGCAGATGTCCAACCACCTGTACTGGGTGTCCAAACAATCCAGACCGTTTCTCCAGGAAAGAGTCCCCAACTGCCTTCTCCTAGGATTTTCCATTCTGTAGCACCATCGGACGCCATCACAGTGCGACCTCAGCATAGTAGTCCGAGCTATAACCAGGACAAAACCACTGCCATCCGAAGCCTTAACGCTGTCCTGGACAGAGATGACAACAAAGGGGATCACCGAAGTAGCTTTTCAAAGAAATTGATAGCCAGAAGGTCCAGTGCTGAAGAACCTGGTAAGAAACCTGGAGATACCAGCCAGAATAATCCACCATCTCATTCTGAGGCGAGGAACGAAACTCGAGCCATCAACAGCGGAAACCTTGTGCTAAATTATACCCAAAGAATCTGTGCCAAACCTGAACCCGCCAACCAACCTCATAATTCAACTCGGGAGCGAAAGGCAAATGAAAGTTTAGTGAAAGAAAGCCAAAGTGTGACCTTGCCCCAAAGGTCTACAAATAATCTAGGAGAACTGCATGGAAAGAACGATGTGGTGCATCCACCGCTGTTACAGAATAAGAGTGGCTTTAGCGAATACCTGCGGAGGACGGATGGACATGAAGACGCAACGGCTTTTAGCAGGGTCATCCCTCACCGGGAGGAAAACAGATCCTCCGGTAGTGGAACCTCCTCCATGCAGCCCCCCAAGACTGAAGAAACAAAGATCCCTCATGATGAATGTGCCGAAGAGAAGACACGCCTTGTACCGGACAGGAGAATCCAAGGAGAACCCAACGAAGGAAGAAATGTGCCTAATGCTACAGAACCTGTAGTTCCTGATAAAGCCATCTCTAAGCTACCAAGCAAGACAACTGTCGGGAACATATGGGGACAAATGGCCTTTCATGACCGAGGAGAAAGAGCGAATCGAAGTCGAAAGAAGAAGCAAACCAGGGGAACTTCGGTAAATTCTCAGGTAAGTTGAATCCCTCTAGGTTTTGAAACAATGTATTTTAGCTTTAGAAGGAAAGGGTGTGAAATAATAGGAGTTATTGGCATATCTGCTTTGCATTTAACTTTAAACATGTGCATAACAATTAAATAAATTATTTGGTAGTTGAATTAAGTTTCAAATGTAACCTAGAACAAGGGCATAAGAAGTAAAACGCAAGACATTTAGTGTGTTTTAAGAGCAACAGGTACTTTAAATTTTAACCATCACCCTTTCAACAAATTTATAGCGATTCCCTTTTTGATATTTTGAATTTTATCTCTGAAAAATACCTTTTTTCTTCTGAAATCTGGTCTAGAAATTTAGTAGAGTTGTTGAAATGCTGTATGTTTAATCCATGATTTGTTCCTTATTTTGGAATGCTAGGTTCATTCTATTCTAGATGTGTATAGTATTTTGCCCTGCACTATTATAAAGACATGAGTGTGCTTCTTCTTATGAAATGCTTTTTATTTATTTTATCATTTTTATTTATTTTTTCCTTTCATTAGGCCAAGGAGTCAGAAAATGGTGCTAATCCCCAGTTTAAGGTTCCTTGTGAGCCTCCTATACCTGCCACTCATGTGCTGGTCCAGCATTCGGTCCAGGTTCCGAGTAAGGACCAAGCCCCGAGAAACAGAGGACTGGTCTACCCAGGGTTTGTTCCGGCTTCCAGACCAAAGCCCCAGGAAGCCCTCCATAGCCTTGCACCGAATGTAGCCCAACCTGGACCAGGACTTGTAAACCAGGTCCAGGACTTGGAAAAGACTATACCCTGCACAACACAAGCTGAATCCTCAAATTCAAAGGGGATCCTAAACCAGACTCCAACTTGTTCTCAAGATGGAGTCCCAAGCAAGGCCCAGGCCAAGACTGCATTTAAAAGACCAAGCCAGTCCAGGCTCTTGTCTGGTCCAGTAACGCCAGACCAAATTAAGGCCCTGAAGAAGCTTCATCTTCATGATGTACTTCGTCTGATACGAGAACACAGCCCAAAGGAATCTGTCTTTCCTATTGGCGAGTGCATCATTGAGGTTTGTCTAGATTCATTCTCAAAAATCTGAAAATAAATGGTCACCATTAATAAAAAATAAACAGGTTTCTCTACCAAGCCATTATACACTGGTTTGTTTGACTACATCATTGAGGTTCGTCTAGATTCATTCTCAAAAGTTTGAAAATATATGGTCTCCATTACTAAATCATAAAGAGGTTTCTCTACCTAACCATTATACACAGGTTTGTTTGAAATGTTATTGTTAAGCCATAACTACTGGCTACATACATTTTGTTATTATAAAAGTTAAAACAAGGTGCACTCAAATTTTTCAAAATTACTGTATGACAGAGTCATCGCACAGTGTTGGAATGAGAATATTAAGTGTCTACATCACAAGTACACATCTGTAATTACTTGTGTATGAGTTACCTACGTTTATATGTAAATTAAGTTTTTTCATGGATTGCAAGAAAAATACATGTGTAGCACTTCTCAATGACTCTCAATCATTTTTTGTGTGTCTTACTTGTTTCCCCATCTTGCTTCTCGTCTTTAATGTTTCAACAGTTCTTGGGGCAGAACAGCGTGAACCTCTTCCCAGCGATCTACGCCAAGTGCATTGTGGGTAACACATCGACGCAGCCCGTGATCTCTCCTCATGAAGAGCAGATTTCAAAGACCATCTACTTGTGGACCAGAGAAAAGAAAAGAGTGAGTGTATATATATGTATATATATCCATGTACATCTCCCGCTTAGTCAATAGTCCACTATGGAGATTGCACTCGTACGAATGACCCTCAAATACCCACAGATCTTGTTAACATGGAGGAGCCCCACTTTTGTGCTTTTTTTAGAATACTGAATCACAGCCATAGTGATGGTGGTGCAGCAGGAATTATTTTTCTTTGCCCTTTTGAAAAGAATACTTCCAGCTGTGTATCGTAGAATGTACATATATACCATTAGTGGATCAATGAAAAATGAAAGATTACATACATTAAACATGTATCCAACATTTGCCTCGATGGGTTTTAACTCTTCCCCCCCCCCCCCCCTTTCTTGAAAAGCTCTCCCAGTTTTCCCAATCTAGAGGTAAATGCTATATAATACCAGGTACTTGGACTGGTACCTTTAAAAGCCGCTTATTGACAACTTTCTTGCTAGCATACTTTGTTTCGCTTCACTTTTATCACAGTTAATACTTGTACAGTGAGTAAGAATAGGCCAAGAGTATCTCCGCATTGGGTGTCACGTCTTGGATATCAGGCTTCTTTCTCGTGCTGTCGATGTACACATTTTTTTTTTTTATGTCTGCAAATTTTGTGAATGTTTCATGCGATAAAAAAAGGCCATCTACTCAATTTTTATGTTGTGAAAGTTCTGGTTTTGAAGTATTGCTCTTGGTATATATTGTCTGCTGAAAGCAGGAAGGATGTTCACTCATAATAATAATAATAATAATAAAGATAGATTTATTGAGCGCATAATAAACAGAAGTTTCTTTATGCACTTTACATAGATCTAAATAAACACCCTTATGCTCTTAAACCTATAACAATCATGTTTACATTGTACGTAGTACTGATGGAAAACAAATATCTTTCAAATATTTTTCAAGCTGTTCCTCTTCTTTTTTTTTCTCAAAGCATCTTGCTTTAGATATACGATTGCCTCTTAAAGGCTACTTCAGAAATAACGCTGCAAAATGATGATGATGATGATGACATATAATGATGACGTAAAGCGCAATGCCATCCACATTACTGTATCTAATATCACAGAGCTCGGTGAAGACGCACAAGTCCTTCATTACTTGCAGTTTCCATTCAGTTACACGTTGAGAAACCGAGTGCAGCTTTTTTGCTGCGATTTACCGCAAAATATCTGAACAAGCCCCAACTCTGTATCTTAGTATCAGATTTTGAGCCTTTAACTATTTTTTGTTGCCACAGAAAAATGTGATGCATTATTTGATGAGCGAACTTGGGCAAAGACTAGCTAGTCAGGAAGGCGTGGACCTCAGCCGAACTCTGACCTTCAGCCGACTTTTTGCAGCCATCTGCAGAGAATCAGGTAAAGACGAATTGTTATTATCACTTACGATACGTAAAAACAAACAGACTAGCAAACAAACAAACAAATAAGCGAAATAAAACTATGTGTTGAATAATGTTTTGGTTTGTGTAGAGGTGGATCTTGTTTTCTCATTCTATGAACTGAAGATTTTAACACACCCTAAAGAGTACTTGAATCACTTCCAAAAGTTATTCATGCACAGCTAGAAAGAATTAATCTGACTGCAGATAACTTTACTCAGATTCTTTGGGTTTGGGAGAATGAATTAAAGGTAAAGATCAGTTCTGGTCATGCGTTTGCATTGTGAAAGAAACATTGTGGAATCGATCTGAAAAGGTTGATCATCTAGCATATTAGGTATAAGTATTGGTGTGTACTGCAAGGTTCTGGAATCATCAAAATGATAAGAAATTTGGCCCATTCTTGGTAAAGTTACAAGCACTGTACACAGAAATATGTATATGGGACTACGCGATATGTGCGCAACACCTCGCGGTATCTATCAGCTCCAAATAAATATAAAAATTTCCCAAATACACACTGTATATCAGTTAGTAGGCGGTTTCACGGTAAAATTTGTATCATCACGTATTAGTCAAAACATATTCTTTTACATGATTGGTAATAAGAGCCTCCATTTCATTTTTTGAGAGGGGGGCGTTTCCAAAACTGGTCTTTACCTTTAAACAAAGAGTAACAGCAAAACCAAAAGTCAAACTTGTTATAAAGGGTGTACCCTTATCTATAGATGTGAGGGTGTATAAGTCCATTAACTAGTCTCCTCACAGTTATTGAGTATGTATTCAAAATTTGCGATATCTCGCCATAGAAGTTATATTAGAGTCTCATATTTTGAATATAGTATAGTGGCATTAAACTTAGAGTGGAATATATTTATTTTTTGTGTGATTTGTCTCCTGTAAGTTTGTCCTGATGTTGATACTCTGTACCCTTTTATTTCTTGGAATGCAAAATAGAGCGACACTTCTAGATTATATTGTTATTTTTCTGGCTTTGTTTGCACAGATTGGATGGTGCGAGCCAGGGTCATGTGTTATGATATCATCAGGGAAAGTCTACCCAATGGATATCATCTTCTACTGGCCATGGCTGCTGTTTGGCCAAGCATTCTGAGAAAGAAGGTATGGGCTGATAATGATGATGATGATGATGATGGTGGTGGCGGTAATGGTGATGATGATGATGATGATGATGATGATGATGGTGATAGTGGTGATGATGATGATGATGATGATGATGATGATGATTATGATGATGATTTTGGTGGTGATGGTGATGATGATGATGATGACGATTATGATGATGATGGTGGTGATGAAGATTTTGGTGGTGATGATGATTTTGGTGGCGTAAATGGTGATGATGGTGATGGTTATGGTGATGATTGTAATATGGGTAGTGATGATCATGAGCATGATAATGGGATGAGGAGGGAGAGGGAGGGGAGGATTAATATCAGATTGGGACTTTAGTGGTTATTACATTGATGATGATGACCGTGACGATGTTCACGATGAACTATCTTGGTTTGGAAAGTGATGGATGGCGACAAGGTCGTTGAGAATGGTTGAAGAGATGGAACAGACAATGTTTGCCCTTGATAATAATGATGAAAATAAAACTACGATGGATATTTGGGGTCATTTGTGCCATGTTGTTCAGGATTCATGAACTCCCCCCGTTGATTTGATGAGATCTATGTAGGCACCATCATAATCTGTTAATTATATAGTTTATTGGTTTTGAAACTATAATTTCTATCAGACTTGTATGGGAACCGGAAATGCCTTTGCCTAATACACCCATTGCTGGTGCTGCCCTCTACGGCCAAATACTGTATTTGGGGTAGCGAGAATTGTTATATTTTATTACAGATTTGAAATTGAAGACCACTTGGCTCTTCCCTCAGTTATCACCAGAAATGTTGTTACTAAGCAATGACTTTTAATTTTTGTTTCTTTTCAGGATGGTGGAATTCACCCCCTCATTTCAACGATGGAAATCTTGTTCATGCACCAACTTCAGACTGACGCCAAGAGCACTAATGCCTTTACAAGAGAAACTGCAGAGAAGGTACGTCCAAAATTATCTATATGATATCGGCTGCCCGTGAGTGGTATATCGGATATATTGCGTTCAGCTTGAGAATGATAATAATAATAATAATATTGGATTCTTATATAGCGCACGTATCGACCTTGCAAGGTCCTCAAGGCGCTCCAACATTACCCGGCTATGCTAGGCTGCCGATTTCGACGCATATTGCGTGAGTTGTATACAAGAGCAATATTCGTGCTAGCTGAATGCAGTTTGTCTGATATACCACAAAAGAATGCCAGCTTTTGTATTATCATAGATGCACATTCGATTAAATATATCTACAGTGAAATTTACTGTGCGCGCAAGTGAGCAGCTGGCATTGCTTGCGAGTAAATGCTCATACACATGCGCAAGATTAAATATGAGAAAATCACGCTCAGTTTGCAATATTGTAACAAATATTACATGCTGATTCTCCACAGGTGATGTAATATACAGAGAAAAAACAATATGCTAATAATATTGAACTTGATCAAACAAAGGGAATGGAATATATGATTTTATTCTCTTGGAAAACGGGCTTGTATGTATGATAATTGATAATAATGGTAATGATTGTATTTACAGAATACTACATAACACCATACAAATATTGAATGCTCCGGAGTTTATTATAACAAAATATATGAACAGACAAAGTCAGTGTTTTGTGGAGCGACGTTATATTTCACTGAGGCCACAGGCAAGGAATGCAAGGGATTCTTTCCTTCCTACCTGTATCCATTTAACACCCGGGTGGAGAGTGGCAAATGTAGATAAATGTCTTGGCAAAGGATACTAGTGCTGCCTTTGGGCTTGAACCCACGACCTCCAGCATCTCCAGTCAAGTGTTCAAACCACTAAACTACGACAACTGTAATATTATTATTTAGCTTGTGTCAACCATTATATACATGTAGATGGTTATTGAATTATAAAACATTTCAACTAGCAAGTTTACTTGATGTAATTTTTTTACTAATCTATTTTCCGTAGATTATTAAGTGTTTTGCCCATCTGTGCCATTGGAATCCCATGGCCTCGGAGTCGAAGGGAGATGCCCATGCTCATTGGCTGATAGGCTTGCTAAAGGATCCTGACATAGCAACGTTCCAACAAAGTAAGTTGAAGATGTTTCCTTAAATCACCAGAAAGTATTTTGCTCCAGATGTGAAAGGCGGGCTTCAAATATTACTTCTTTGAAGAGATATCGCACATTCAAATGATAATAATAATAATAATAATTATAATAGTACTGCTGGTTCTAGTATAGCGCTCATGTCTGTCAGACTTGACACTCTGGTGGCTTCACAATTGTTAACCTGGCTTTAGCATGGCTGCCATAATGGTGTTCAGATACAAATGTAGCATTTACCCCACCCGGGTCGATCATGACAAAGGACATTAGTGCCGTGGCAGGACTAGACCACAACACGTCTACATATACTCTCAATAATAAAAGAGCGATGAGTGAGCAGATTGATCGCATAGGGATATACTTTGTAATGTGTTGTACGCTATATAAAAATTGATTATTATTATTATTATTATGAATCGATGCTCCCTTATGTGCTCTACTATGTGCTCACAGTAAAATAGGGCTACTTAAAATCCATTATTCTTTCTTAAAATTTAGATAATGTTTATTTAATTTTGCATACATGCATCTGTACTTCATGACGTTACTCCAAACCCATTATTTTGATCTTGAAATTCAGATAAAACACAGATCCTTCTGGGTAACAAGTGCTTTGAAACGATTAAGGCTGTCGAGCTTCTAGCCTCTTCTCAAGGCTGGGAATGGACTAATAATAAGCTCATCATCGGACAGCTTTGGCCCGTTTTGAAAGACTGGAGCAAGAGTCTAACCAAGGGCACTGCTGAGAAGAAAGAGGATGGAACTCCTGGGGATGGAAGTCTGGCAGGAAAATCGAGCACCTCGTTGGCTACTGCTTGTGCAGTGATGAAGGTTATTGGTAAGCGAGCCCGTTGACTCCTGAATTCTCTCATTCCCATAGGCTTAATATATGAGCCACCTGTTTTCCATCGAAATGGGTTAAATCTGTGTGTGTGTGTGTGATGTATGGGTATATCACACTCAAGGGCATTCATTATATAATCCTTTTACTTTCTTCCTGTGTTACATTTCTAATATTAAAAGCTCTGATGTTAAAACCTCGTATTTTACATGTTTTTTTACTGGCATGTGGAGAATGAATGAATGAAATGTATTGAAATATTTTCTATATTTTTTTGTTCATAGGCAACGTTGGACAGATTGGGCTTGTACTGAATGTTCAGTCTGTTGAGCAGCTCATGAAAATGCTAATAGCGGTATTACAGCAGCCATCTCAAAGCAGTAAGTCAAATTGTTCTTTTTAAATTCCTTTTAAAGGGAATTGAATAGATTAATCTAACCTCCTGAATTCTGAATTATCTAATTCCCCTAGGCTTTATACAGGGACCGCTCGGCTCCTGTATACAAAGGGTTAAGCCAGTGTTTTTGATAATTCCATGCTTCAGATAATTTGAATTGTATGTTCGATGTGTTTCCTTTCCTATCTATATCCTTTGAAATTTATAGCTCTACATCGATGTAGCCTGTTGGAATATTTATTACAGCATGAACATTGATATAATTACTGCATTTCGTGTAAATGATTTAACTGAGTCTGTGGTATAATGAATTCTGTATCTTTTCTACCCCCTTTCGTAGCCTATATAAAATAAACCTCAGAAAATTTTACCAGATATGGAGTATTACAAAAATAAAGAAAAACATTAAAATCCGTTCATGGAACCCATGTCAGACTCTGGTTCTGTGCGAGCATGTACAGGTGGTTTGACTAGTCAGCTTTCAATTAGCTTTAATGTTAATTGAGAGTTTATAATAAACTTGCAATATTTCTTTATGATGATAGAAGTTACGTTTGGAGGTCAAAGCTTGAATACCAGTATAGTATAGCGACAGGAAACTGGAAACATGCAGAGAAAAATACTTTTTTAGGAGTGATTGGTGCACTTTTAGTACAGTTGAACCTGTCTATAGAGACCGCCCAAGGAAAAACATAAAGTGGTCTTTGTAGACATGTGGTCACTAATGCAGGTTTGACTGTATTTTTATCTCATCCACTTTCTGCTGCAGTTCCATGGCCCATGCAGCTCTACACTGCTCAATCAATCTACGACCTGTCGCCTAGCAACCAGGAAGTGGCCTCCCAAGTGCTTCGCCAGTGGGTCGCCAAGGCCGTCAATGCTGTCCCAGAGAAACTGGCAGAAGGGATCAACAACCTCGGTAGAAAACTGGAGAGCCCGGACGATACCAATCAGCCAGAGGTTGTCAAAGATAAAGTTTATGAAGAGACTAAATGATTAGTTTGCATGTTATGTGGAAAGAAAAAGTTAAAACTAAACAACAACAAAAAAAAGGTTAATCGTTGATGTGAGGCAGTAAACAGAATTCAAGCTATGAACAGTTCAGAAATGTCGTGGTACTTATTGACCCATTGTGAGGTATGTTTATTTACAATGTAACGATGTATCGTCTATACAGTAGGTTTACGGTTGCACCATGTGAGAGAAAGGGGAGGATTGGGGAGTCCTGAAAAAGACTGTCGGTAATCTTTCTTTCTTGAGTGTGTGTGTAGTCCTGAAAAGGACTGTTGGCTAATCTTTCTTGAGCTTATAGTTCTAAAGAGAAATATAGCGCCGGTTAGAGAGGATGGGTTGTAGGAGGGGCTCGAACAGGTTGAATATTCGTTGTCAGGAGTGTATCATCTGTTCAGATTCAGAAGGGCGTTGTCCCATATGCTTTAACGCAGATTAAAGGCTCTTAAAAGTGAAGATGTGCAACATATTTTATTTAGTTTAAGGTTGGGACTTTAGAAATACCTAATAGTATATTATTATCAGATCCGTCCCAAGTTTTTTATTTTGCTTCTTTTTTTTATAAGAACTATGCTTAAGTGATTAGCCTTTGATATCTATAAGATTGTAGTGTTTTATTCATTTCTAATATAAATGCCAGATAACTTACTTTATCCCATTTAAATTGGGATGTAATGGAATAAAGATTATTTTACTTGTTGATTCAGAATAAGCAATATTGGTATTGCACCCAGATGTGAATTATAGTTATAAATTATATCACTCAACCTATGGGTTGTCTTGTCTATAGCGACCGTCCAAGGGAAACACATAAAGTGGTCTTTGTAGACAGGTTCCTTTAGTACATGTTTCAATGCGAAACCATTTTCAACGCAAACAAAAGATGTGGTCTTTGTAGACAGGTTGTCACTAAAGCAGGTTTGAATGCTTTAGTCACAAAGTACCAGTATTCTGTAGAAAAAATGATAATACAGAGAAATGGGCTTTTTTTTATAGTGGCCATCTGTATAGAAAGATCACTTGTCCATAAAGACCACATAATACTGATGTCGCTACCCTAGGTACATAAAAACATAATGTATGTTTGAAACCAGATGGTCGTAATCTTGTATTGTTTTACACAGAGTTAAAACCCTTCTGGCTTGAAACATCAGCTTAAAGATAAGCTTGAGTTCTGGTAATGGTAGAAAATAAATTCTCACAGAATTCAACAAAACTCCCACTTTTTTGTGCCAAACGAATTTGGTAGAAAATGTATAGGGGCTGAGTAATGAGCATAGAAAGATAAGGAAATCAATGTAAGTAGGCCCGACACCATGTGCTTAACCGCAGGTCACTATGTGCAAATGAGAGTTGTGGTTTCTATTGAAGATGATTTCCAGCAAGTTTTTGTGAGTTTGTATTATTTTACTGGATCAAACAATCAATCTACTGCAGGATAAACAATCCAGAATGAATTATAGCCATGTTCTCTCGACATACGATGCCCATACCAGAGCTCAAGGTTGGCTTTAAAGGGATCTGGTAACTTTGTCTCAGATTCTGAAACAAAATCCTGGATTTAGCTCATGCTGCAATGATTATTATAAACCTTTAGGTCAGTCAGGAACCCCATGACTTTTACAAGCAGATCGCCTGTCTGATAAATCAAGATATTTATGATTGGAATTAAAAATTTTGAAAACCATTTGCCAAACGGTTTTTAATAACACTACAGTCTATTGGGGAAAACGAGTATGGTAAAACCGGTCACTCAAAGATTTTTACTTTTTGAGGCACTTCTTGATCATTTTGAAGCGCAATTTTTTTTTTAGGGCTTCAATATTACACCATATCACAGATACTGATAACACGTAGGGCCGTGCATCTCAGCTTTAATATTGTTAAATGATGCCTTATAATGTAAAGCCTGGTGTTTGCGGAAAATCCATTTTTAGTTTTTGTTACCTTACATACCATCTTACATTGTCCACGTCAGACATATATGTTAAGACTGAAATTTGTATTGCATATCACATGTTAAAGGATAATACATGTACATGTATTAAAAACATTTTTTAATGGTGCTATGTATATGTCCCATGTTATTGTTGTACAGTGGGATTAATGTGCGATGCCTTGCTAATGCTAATTATGGATGTGCCAAATAGTAACAGTCTGTAGCAATTGTACTTCATTGTCGCTAGGTGATGTTGGAAAGAAAAATCATGTGATTTTCGAGAAATTACCAATTATTCTGTAAAATTTAAGAGCATTGTACACGTTCAATGTACTTACATGTTTACATGCAATTTTGTGTGTAGAACTCTGATTTCAAATAGAAGTTTGACAGTACCATCATGTATGTTAGATATTAAACTGCTCTGTAAGAAAGTATAGTGAAAGTACAGTCTAAGTTTTGAATATGATATACATGTATGGAAGGCTTATTGATATTCTTTGGGAAAATCCCATTGTCTGCCAATTTAGATTTTGCAACAAAGGTAAAGTTATAAAAACAGGCACTATGAACATGACAGACAAAGAAAGAGAACAAAATATACAGTTCCTCATTCTACCCTCAACAATTGCTGTGGTAGACAAAGGAACATGCCTCTGTTCCCAGACTGAACAGAATGCTTTGCGATACCGAGTAGACCAAGGTTTGAGTAACATCAAATAGGTTGCTTCCGGTATGAAGCAGTAAACCACGGCGGTTGTTTTATGATGAGGTCAGCTGTAATATGCTTAACATTTGTGCATCTTATAACACATACCTCAGTGAATATGCATATAGGACTTTGTTACCAGCCGTTGCCCTTAATTTACACTTTAAAAAAAAAAGAAGAGTATTTTGTTGTGCGGCAATTTACTGTGTCATATTTGAACGAGCCTTTAGTGCTTTTTCAATATCACCATGTTCAGTGATACTTAATTGGATTCTTTTGGGATATGGTCATTGTACTGTAAGCAAACAATTAGCTGACGGCAATTGGAAGTGCTTTTTTTTATAAACGTACATACTAAGTTTTTATATGTAGAAATATTTCACACATATATATATATATATATATATATATATATATATATATATATATATATATATACAGCGAACGAATCATCAAAGCTAAATGAAGAAGTGCGTTAACTCAAAATTAAAGTTTTTAAAGAGATAACAAAGATAAACTTGAGTTCTGGTAAAAAAAAGAAAATGAATTCTCAAAGAATCTAACGAAACGTACACTGAATGTTCAAGATTACAAATAAATGTCATGTGCCAAACAATTTTGGAAGAAAATGTATACTGGCTGAGTAATGAGCATAGAAAGATAAGGAAATCAAGGTAGTACTAGCCCTGACACCATTTGTGTAGTCCCATACACATCTTTCTGTGTATAGTGCTTGTTACTTTACCAAGACTGGGCCAAATTTATTATGATTTTGATGACTCCAGAACCTTGCAGTACACACCAATATTTACATGCTACATGATCAACTTTTTCTGATCCATTCCACACCTTTTCTTTTACAATGCAATCGCTGACCAGAACTCACCTTTATCTTTAAAGTATTTTCGATAATGCCTACCTATAGCTCTAAGCAGGCAAGATCGTCAACAAGTGTTGTCTAAAGTTGTGCGATAAGTGCATGTATAATCTGTTGTGATTGACACATTGCAATCTCTTTAGATTATGATGCAGCATATTTTGTTGATTGATTGAATTTTTAAAGATATATTTCGCAAAATATATACATCATAATTATGTAAGATTTGGTTTACAATATAAACGTTGCGTATCCTAACGTGTATTGGTTTTTTTTATTGGAAGAAGAGCATGAGTTTCTTAATTTTGTATTAAAGGAATGGATTAAAACAGTGACAGAGATAAGATTTATTTTAACACTGATTACATTTATTGAGATACAGTGTTTAGACTGAAATGCGCTATGTAAATGTATCTGATGAAAGGTCAATCAATACCCAATGGTGTCGCTTTATATTGACAATGTGTACGCATGATAGTTAGAAATTTCAACCAAAAGGTTCATTTTCGGGGATGTTCGCAAAGACTTCAATGTTCATAGACTTTGAAAAGAAAAACAAATCTTTTTTTTTTTTAAAGGGTCACATATTTTAAAGAGGAACCTGTACCTCAAATAACATTATGCAATTTCGCGGAAAAATAGGGTCCTTTTTGTAAATTTATACTTGGTGAGCCAAACATATGGTTATATTTGGTGCCCAGTTTGTACCTGTTGTAAGGCAAAAATTTGTCATATTGTGTGGGTAATGTTCTTAATGTTCTGCTAATAGGGGTCATTTTCGACTCAGCTAATAATCATGTATTACCCCTTTAAAGATGAAATGACACCAATGGGTCAAAACTTTAAAATGTGCTTTTCTATAAAAAAATACATTTACTGGCTGTGCATTCAGTTGTGCCCTTGTACCAGGCTTATATCAAAACCATTTTTTCTGATTTTGTTTACAGTTGAGTGCCGCATTAAAAAAGATGCATTTTTATTCTTCATTTTTTTCACATATGTGTATGAAATCATAAACATAGAAAGGAAAGGAATAATTGCTTTAGTTCTCTTGTCTTTTTGTAAGAAACGCAAAATTAATTTAATTTTGCGTTAAAACTAGGTGCTGTTCTGTGTTTTTTAAACTTTATTTGTTGTTATTGTTCTTTGTTAATGAGGCAGTATCCATTTCCGATATTGTACCTTGCAATTTATTGTTTTTGTTTTTCTACCACTTTTTGTTGTTTTTCAAGCTGTCAAAGCAGAAATTTTGGTATTACGAACTTATAGAATAACTACGGTATAAGGTTGAGAATTATGAACCTTCAGAAAAACAACATATGAGCGTTAAGCTAGATCCAATGTGGTTTGCTTTCTGAATACCGGTAACATGATTTAATTTTTTTAAAGATGAAGAAGAGGGTAGAAATCAGTCAGTGTACAAACCTTGTTAATACATCTGGTGATATTTAATCTTTAGTGTTTTAAAGAGCTTTGTTGCTATTTATTTACTCATATTTTAATTGTTTTATGATAACACATAATTTACATAGGCTATTTCTGTTCTGGTTGTATTTGTAACAGTTTTATGTAAAATATTACATATTTTTGTTGAAGAATTTATGTAGGCAGAAAAAGAATCTGCACTATTTTGTTAGTGAGCCAAGATATGAGTATATGTTTTTTATGCCAGAAAAAAGAAGAAAAACATATAACAAATATTGTATTTTTATACTTTGAACATATTGATATACTTATGTTTTACATTGTGAGAAATAGACCTTTTTCTGTGAATCTAGGTTTTTCCGCAGTGTTTCTAGGAAATGACCTGTTGAAGCACTAGATGTAAATATTCACTTCAGATTTTCATTTTTTTTTCTTCAGCTGCTTCTATGTCAACTATTTTCTTCCTTTTGCTTCCTTTTCCTAATTTAAAAAAACAACTTTCATCTGATCCCAGAAAAAGGCTCTTCGCCGTTATCTTACAAACTTATGAGAACAAGATTATTATCATGCTGTTTTTTTTTCTTTCCTTTTTGAAATTAAGTTTCAAATATTGTGTTAGTGTGTTCTACTGTATCCATCTATGGAGAACCAAAAGGGTATTATTGACTGTTTGTCATTATTGTCATAAGTATAGGAAATATTGTTCTTTCTAATTTTCTCTGCTGATTTATATTTTTGCATGGGCACAAAAGTCCTATAAAGTATGTGCAATTAAAGACATTGCTGTATAAAGATATAAATGCCACACATTTTGTTTGTCAGCGATGTAGTCAATTTTTGTGTTGTTTGTTTTTCTGTGTATGATGAGACATAGCAGGGAGGGGGGAGAGAGAGGGGGGGGGGTGGGGAGATGGGAAGAGCGAGACAGAGCAGTCTTCAACTCTCTAGAGAGACGGAGAGAGTGAGAGGAAAATGTTAAGAACAATAAATTGAGGAGGACTGTGGCTTGAAGGGATAGAGAGGGAAGGCGCTTGTGCTCTTTAGAGAGAGAGAGAGAGAGAGAGAGAGAGAGAGTGTGAGAGAGGAACATTAATTTAAGAACAATAAAGTTAGAGGACTTCGTTGCTTGAAGAGAGATGG